TCTATTCTATCCGAGGCAGTCGTGCTCACAAGGAAGTAAACGCTTCGAGACCGACTTATCGAAACTTTACAGAACTGCGCCGATATCCGCCCGCTGTCTTCTCTGGCAACCCGGTTCCCCTTCACAGCGCGCGTTTCACCCTTTCGACGTCCAACCCTCGTCACTATCGGGGGGATAGGATAAATCGGGTCATGCGAAAACTTTCTTGTTCCTCGAGGTCCTTCTTTCCTGCTCTACTCGTAACAGAATCAAAGCCAACCAGCGTTTCAAACTTCCCGCCTTTTTCTTCGCGATGGCGAAAGGAATTATTCGTACCTCTTTGGACTTTCAAACATTGTTTTTGTCGAACAGCTCTGGACGAGATCTTCGTTCCTTTCAAATGTTAATAGAACGAGTTTTGGGGGTTTGGGGAACCCCCAAATTACTTGTAAAGGAACATCGAGGACTGATACACTTCGATTTTCATGAAACTTGGCATATATATTTATTAGAAATATCTAAGAAGAAAGGTGTAATTCGTTCGTGATCGTTTTGCACTTTGAGGGAGATGTCAACCCTTTGTTTTTTTTTGAATTTTTTTCTCGAAAGTGCGTAGGATTTCGAGGGTGTGTCTATTCACCAAAAATAATTGTAATCGACCCCTGCATCCGAAAATAATTTTTCTAAAAATTTCAGGGAAACATGTCAATGTATGGTCAGACATTACCATTTTCGGTAAGGAATTTTTTTCTCGAAAATGGTTCGGATTTCAAGGGTATGTCTATTCACCAAAATTGATTGTAATCGACCCCCGCAACCGAAAATAATTTTTCCAGAACGATTTGAAACTATTTTTCGCCGACAAATTTCAGGGAAACATATCAACGTATGATCAGACATTATTGGTAAGGAATTTTTTTCTCGAAAATGGTGAGGATTTCGAGGGTATGTCTATTGACAAGAAATGACTGTAATCGACCCCCGCAACCGAAAATAATTTTTCCAGAATGATTCGAGATTTTTTTTTTTAGAAGTAAATGTTCCTTCAATGTGAAATGTAAATTACGATAATAAAGAGTAAACGATCCTAGAGTGGGATTCGCGAAAAATGATATTCAATTAGAAACAGGATAAAGTTACAGAAGGATTTCAGAGACGGAAAATTTGATGCGATTACGAGCCCCCCAACGTAAGAAACGAAGGAGTTAATTGTCTTTCTGTCTCGACAAAGGACCTCCTCCCTCTTCAAGAGGAAACTGAACGGTCGACCTGGATCCACGACATGCTCGAATTAGAATTCTATTAACCCCGTTTCTCGATATCGTGCGTGGAACTGCGAAAAGAAACGTTAATGACATTTTTCTCTTCCCTTTCGACGGAATTGCGCGTCAAAGATAATACTTTGCTCTCGATAATTATAGTAACAACCTTTAACATTCACTAGAAAGGAAATGCTCGTTTATTTCTTCGTGTTAGCTGCAGTAGATTTACCTTCTTTGCAAAGAAAACTACGTTCGATTAATTCAACAATTTTTCTTCGAGTAAACACACACACAATTTGATTGAATTTCCATTCATTGGGACTTTTTAACACATTACCGACCGATAGCCTATTAATCGACTGTTTTACCGACGCTTACCGGCTGAGTGCCTGTCAATCAACTGTTTTACCGGCGAACGCTTACCGACCGATAGCCGATTTATCAACCGCTACCGGTCGGTAAAGTGTTAACTTACTGAATAACAGTTTCAGAGAATACACTTCATTTTGTGACTGCTTTCTTGAAGCAAACAACTCCTGTTATTTTATAATTAATCAGAAATTTAACTGCACATATTAAATATAAGATAAATCTACGCATTTATTGGAAATTAATTCTAATTAATTCTGTCGTGAGATTTCGTTGAATTTCGAGATAAAAATCTACGCATTTATTGGAAATAAATTATGATAAATCCTGTCGTGAGATTTCGTTGAGTTTCGAGATAAAAATAGTTGATAAATAAATAAATAAAAGACGTATTTTAATGCACAAACTGCAGTGTGATAGTATTTGAATAGTACGAAGTATGATACAGTGAATAATAATAACAGCTGACGATGATGGTAATAATCGCGTCTTTTAACTTACACAATTTGATTGAATTTCATTCATCGGGACTTTTTAACACATTACCGACCGATAGCCTATTAATCGACTGTTTTACCGACGCTTACCGGCTGAGTGCCTGTCAATCAACTGTTTTACCGGCCAACGCTTACCGACCGATAGCCGATTTATCAACCGCTACCGGTCGGTAAAGTGTTAACTTACTGAATAACAGTTTCAGAGAATACACTTCATTTTGTGACTGCTTTCTTGAAGCAAACAACTCCTGTTATTTTATAATTAATCAGAAATTTAACTGCACATATTAAATATAAGATAAATCTACGCATTTATTGGAAATAAATTCTAATTAATCCTGTCGTGAGATTTCGTTGAGTTTCGAGATAAAAATAGTTGATAAATAAATAAATAAAAGACGTATTTTAATGCACAAACTGCAGTGTGATAGTATTTGAATAGTACGAAGTATGATACAGTGAATAATAATAACAGCTGACGATGATGGTAATAATCACGTCCGAAATAATGATTTCGTTTACGAGAATCGTATGTGACATTAATGATGCTGCTTCTACGAATGACGAATCACGAATCACGAATCACAGGCTCCGTCGTCGCGATATTTTATCCGCGTTCGAGTGAAATTTACTATTGTTGTTATTACTATTGTAACAGCAACGTCCATTTAACTTGGTAACTCCTATTTCGCGGGATTAAATGAGCACCGAATGGCCATCTGCCAATCCACCGCGAACTGTATCTGCGAAGCACTTTGCTGATTACACGGCCCGATACGCGCGTAAATGTCAAAATAAAATTCACCGCCATCGAGTCTCCCCGATAATTCTATAAAACGTGGAAACTCGATCATCGAACGTTACACCATAAAAGAATCACGAAGCTGCACGGCGGAGTGATTTTCAAAATACTTTTAACTTCGCTCGGTTGTATCCACTCCTCGTTCCTACGAAAAATTACAATTGTTTCTAGAAATGGTAAAATCGAAGAAAAAAATGTCATCTCTGATCTGGAAAATTACAAAAAAAATATTTATGGAATACTGAAAAATTGTATCAAAAATAGTATTTAACGTTCACTTTTTGATAAACTTTTTTTCTTTTTCTCTTTTTCGTTTCTTTTTGGAAATTTTAAACATTGAAGTCACTTTTTTCCAAAATGGCTGCCCATAAACGTCTAATATTTTACAGATTATGTTTGGACATCAGCCTCTATGACTCCGCCAAATTTGGTTCAAATCCGAAGTGGACAGGTCATGACCTCCCCTTGATTAGGTTAAAATAAAAGTTTCATGTCTTTTGCTGGAAAAGTGTTCAAGAATTAATAAGATATTACCAATTCATATACGAAGACCGAGCAATGGTAGCTATAATTATAGCTTTCTAATTAGGTTTCTAATGATTGTTAGTAATTTAATCTTCGTGCAATATACTTCGTAAAATTTGCAAACTACGAATTTGTTTAACTTTCATCGAATAAGGGGATAAAATGCTTTTAAGAACGAATTTCAAGTCGATATCATTCTTAATTCCGGAGAAAACAATTACTCACGAAAAAATGCAACATAAAATGTTAACACTTTACCGACCGGTAACGGTTGATAAATCGGCTATCGGTCGGTAAGCGTTCGCCGGTAAAACAGTTGATTGATAGGCTCTCAGCCGGTAAGCGTCGGTAAAACAGTCGATTAATAGGCTATCGGTCGGTAAGCGTTGGTCGGTAAAACAGTTGATTGATAGGCTCTCAGCCGGTAAGCGTCGGTAAAACAGTCGATTAATAGGCTATCGGTCGGTAATGTGTTAACATGTACAACACACCCTAAGCTACACTAACATATTATAACTATTATTTATATCTACGAGGGACGCGAGAAAGTCAGCGTTACGACCGAAGACAGGAAACGGACGTTTTCTAGAAACCATTTCCAGCCAGGTAACTTCAGTTCGGAAGACAGTTCGTAGTACAAGAGACATAATTGCAAATAATGAAATATTTCCGTTGTTTTGCCCGCCTGCTACAAAGTTACCGGGGACTCACTCCCGTCGTTCAAACTTCCGCAACTCTAATTACCAAAATAACCGTGTTTGTTTCGAACTTAATTTGCGGATGACAACTTTCTCGAGCCAGTTTCGCGCGAATAAAAAGCCTGGAAGGAAAAGAAATCGATTCCATAAATCTGTAGAGCGACAGGGTTGGTACAACAACGAGCTTGTTAAGTAATTTTTATTTACGTTCACGTCTGAACCGAAATCTTTGGGAAACGTTTGTCCCAAACTCGCGATTCCCTTTTGGAACGAATCCTCTTTTCGTCCAACTTTATCTGACAAGTCAAGACAAATATAATTAGACAGAGTGTTCCGCCATCTTTGTTAAAAATTTTAATTGGAGCTTCTAGAGGCCAAAATAAAACGAAAATCAAGAATTTCTTGACCGATTTGTTGACTTCATGTTGGAACGTTCGAAATTCAGCGCCATTCAAGAGAATTTGTGAGCACTCATGTTTTTGTGTTTTCGTTTTCTGCCGCTACGCGGCGCGACAGTCGAGTAGCCCAATTCTATCTTGTGTAAGAATTAATAAATAAAATACCATTGTTACCGAAGAAAAACTATCACTTCCCAAGCGACCAAAAGGCATCAGAAGTAATTAATAACCATGAACGTACATGTCACGCTACAATCTCAACACCATTAAGCATGTGTGTCGTTATCAGTAAAACGACGTCGTTTCTAAGAACGCATAATTGCAAGAAGCGTAGTAAAATCAACAGAACATTGACAAATACTTGTCCTAGCATTAGAAACATAATAAATGTATTTCCTCATGTTATTCATATTTTGCGTATTTACATATAATAATTAAAATGGCTGTCGACTGTGACTTAAACTAACATTCTAATGGTATATAAAGGCTGCATTTGCCGTCGTTGGCATAATTAACCGCGACTGTGACCCGAAGCAAAAGTTCTGAAATTTAAATTATGCATCGCATTTTCGCGATTTTGTTGCTGTTTGCGGCCATTGGGTTAGGTAAGTGCAATCTTATTAAATATCTATTATCATAGTGTATTAAATTCCCTAAAATATGTGTTAATTTCTTTTTATTGTAATATACAAATTTTTGCAATTTTTTTTTTGGGTGAATTTTTTCGAAAATTATTTTATTTGCAAATAATTGACACCAATATAGAATATACTTGATAATCACTTAATTTACTATATTAAAATGCAAACAATAAAATTTATTTAAATTCATTAATTTTCGTTTCATACATTAGGTGATGAATTTTTATGAAAATAATTAAATATGTGTCATAATCGTGTCTACGTATATATAGTATTAGTGTGATGTTCGATTTTTAAATTTCGTATGAATATATGTAACTCCATAATAATATACAATTTTTTATGAATTTATAAACCTCAAGTTTACAAATTTCATTATTGACAAACAATAAACGAACTGTAACAAATATAATTATTTATTTATTAGTTCGTACAAAATTTATAAATTCTGCATAAATTTGCATCGATTTCCGTATTAATACATTTTAAAATTATGAATTTCGTTATTTAATAAAGTTTAAATTTTGAAATTGGAACTTTGAAAAAGTAATTTATTTTTTATTCGAATGTGATACTCGATGCATTCCACTTGACAAAAATTACAATATTTAGGATTCCACGACACGATTAAATGCATATATTAACACTTTACCGACCGATAAAACAGTTGATTAATCGGCTATCGGTCGGTAAAACAGTCGATTAATAGACTATCGGTCGGTAAGCGTTGGCCGGGTAAAAAAGTCGATTAATATCGGTCGGTAATGTGTTAAATACAACTATCCCACGTGTTCAAAAATTTATATATATTTCAATTGCAAAAATATTCGAGGCTGCTCATTTTTTATCAGAGCAAAGAACTCTGCCAGTGACTAAAAGATGAACTATAAATTTGTTCATAAAGCAAGCGCTGGTTATCCCAAGAAGGATGTGGTTACCATTCTCGCCACAAATTTAGAAAGCGCCACCGTCGATAATTATGAAAACGCCAACGAGACTGAAGATGTGGAGGAGCCAGACATAGACATGAAAATAGTCCACGGTGCGGACGCTGAACCCGGTGATTTCCCTTACACAGTGTCCCTGAGATTATGGAACCAGCACTTCTGCGGGGGTTCCATAATCGCCAGGAATGTCATCCTCACGGCAGCACACTGTATCACCACCGGTAGCTCGAACATAAACAACATGACAGTTGTAACTGGCACCATCTATCGCACTAAGGGTGGCGAGAGCCATAAAGTCTCTGCTATGTACTACTTGAAGAACTATGATGGGTCTAGAGACCTTGGCATAGTTAAGGTAAGACCTCCATACGGTTAAGCAAGTGAGACTTTCAAGTTCAACAATTTGTAATCTTCTTCTAACCTTGAAGAGGACTTGAAAATGTGAATATTCTCATCAAAGGATCGATGTTCATCAAGTTTACGCGAATACACTTTTCTAGATTGCTGATAACATCCGCTTCAATGATCGCCAACGGTCAGTCGCGCTTGCCACTACAAGGCCACCAGCAAACGCGTACGCTGTTGTGAGTGGATGGGGTGGCACTACGTCCACGCCTCCATTCATGCCTGCTGACAGACAGCAATACCTCAACGTCAAGATGCTGAGCCCCCAAGATTGCAGGAAAGAGTACAGTGACATAACGACAGAAGTCTGCACTGTTAGCACTAGCGACCAAGGAATATGCAGCGTGAGTATCAAGGAACTCATTTGTACGCAGATCGTATTAACAATTTACCGACAGGTAGCAGTCGGTAAGCGTTGGTCGGTAAAACAGTTGAGTAATAGGCTATCAGTCGGTAAGCGTTGGCCGGTAAAACAGTCGATTGATTGACTGTCAGTCGGTAAGCGTTGGTCGGTAAAACAGTCGATTGATAGTGTTGATGAGGTCAGGATATAAAATAACAAACTTAGACACAAAACGAACAAAATATGAATTTATATAAGAGCAAAACTATGGCTGTACACAAACGTTCCGTTGGGCATGAAAATATGTAATGATTACATGATTACATTAGATGATTTATAGATTAGTGATACTAGTTTTCTTGCAATCAAAAATCAGAGCACGTTTTGATATACTATGTTTCTCTTTTATCTTTTTTAGGGTGACAGTGGCGGTCCTCTCGTCTACAAAGGTGAGGTCGTTGGGGTCGTATCTCGTGCAGTTCTTTGCGCAAAAGGCTACCCAGATGTCTTCGCCAGTGTCTACGACAACCGTGACTTCATTTTGTCAATTATGAGACAAATAGTCAACTAACCTAATATTGGATGTACACCATTAAATGAACAGTAACCAAACTCTATATACCCTTAAGAAATTTTCATATACCCTTGTTTCAATTTTCAAATAAGAATTTTACTTCATGATGGCAGTGTGTATAGATCAGAAATACCAACAACTGTACTAAAAATATCTGAAAATATTTCAAACGTGTTCTTTAATTTAATCTGTCAGAATCAGACTTGAAAATAGATTTTCCACTATTTGGATGTTCAAAGCGTGCAATAAGAGATATTGTGGCGCTGTTGGTTGAGGTTAGGATCTCATAAAAGTCGTAGGAGGATAGAAAAGGAAAGCAGAGGGCGCTAGTGGACTCTTCAGTAAGACTTTCTATAGCAGACCCTGCCTTAGACGACTGAAATATTGGAAAATCGTTCGAGGATTGTATATATAGCAACCGAGATGTCGCTCGAGCGCTTGTGAGAGCGCGAGCCATCTGGTGGCGAGCATGGGAAGCTACACCACAGTACAAATAACAGTAGCGCTTCAATATCGACAGTTTTCAAGGGACAACTATGAAATATAAAGCTGTTAAATGAATATAGAATGCAAAATTCAAAAATCGTTTCTACCTCTATAGTAAAAATGAACACTGATTTACACGATACAAAGATGGAGGCTCGATTTCCTCACAAAGAGCCATAAAACTGGAGCAAAATATAAATCGAGCTGATTTTTAGTCAATTTATTCTCCTCAAAAAGCCAATTTTCTACATTTTAAGAGATCACCAGATTCAAAGATAATTTATTCTCCTCAAAAAGCCAACATTCTACATTTTAAGAGACCACCGCATCCAAAGATAACGAAAATACCGATTTTCTGCGCTCAGGAAATCCCCGTGCGTTGAATCGTAGGAATTTTCCGATTGACCTAACACTTGTCGAATGCAGCTAACGATTGACTTTTAATTCCGGCCGAGCGACTCGCCAAAAACCCGTGTTCTTTTTGCTTCTCGACCGCAAACAGCGCGGTTCGTTTCACAAAAGTAGCGCGTCCGGTGAAAATTCATTTATGCCCCCGAAATTCGCGGTCGATCAAGTGTTAATCGAGCAGAGATAGCAAACGCAGGGAGACCTACGAGCTCGAAGTGCAATTTATACGAGCGGAGAACGACGATCGATTTTTTCTGCCTAAATTTTTCGGCGAAAAAAAAGTTTCAAAACGTTTTGAAAAAATTATTTTCGGTCGCAGATGTCGATTGCAATTAATTTTGGTGAACACACATACCCCCGAAATCGTACCCCCTTCCGAGAAAAAAAATCGAGAAGGTGCTTGAATTTTTCGGCGAAAAAAAAGTTTCAAAACGTTCTGAAATAATTATTTTCTGTTGCAGATGTCGATTGCAATTAATTTTGGTCATTACACGTATCACGTATAGTGACTTTTGATTTTACTTAAACTAACTAAAACTAACTAGACTAGGAACTTAACTAGATGGCGCTTGTTACTCCTGTGACGTTAGCCGTCACATAAGGAAGGGAGTCAGCGCCATCTATGAGCGCTGTGGCGAGGCGTGAGTGAGATCGCGCATGCGTAGAGCGCGTGAGAGAGAAAGGAACTATGAATCGAGAAGGAAAGAACATTATAAAGGCGTCTCGCCTCCAAGTAACAAAGAAAACTATCATTGTCTCGTTCTAGTTTGCCTAATCATTATTCCTGTTTCTAACACCTGATATGTGATATCAAAACCACAAAAATTAAATCAGAGTTGGCAGAGAACAATTACAGTGCGATGGGTTAGAGAGGTTAAGGGAATGTTCTCGTAATTCCGATGAAGAAATAAATTTTTCTTAACAAACGACCGGTGGAATGGCAGTCCCAAAAAAAAAGAAACAGAAGGGAACGTGGGAGTCGTAGATTTATTATGAAGAACCGAATAGTGCGTGGTCGTTGATTCATCGTGTTTCGTCGAATTGGCTGGTTCGAACATAACCTTAAGAACCAGCCCATTACGTGTCGGCTCGTAAAGCATACGGCCGGCGAATGGAAGAAAATAAAACGTAATCAAGGGAAAAGGAACGGCAATAGCACGCGAAGGATCGCGTACCTCGTGGGAAGGCATCGTTTCTGCACGAATGATATTCCGGGGACAAGGACAGGGACGGAGGTGTGGTGTGCGTTTGCGTAGAATACGAACGATATGAGCAAGCATCGTGGAATTCCTAAACGTGGCCCAATAAAAACTTTTCCAATCGACATCCCTACGCTTAATTTACTGGAGCTGAGCCGTACGTAAGTAGCGAGATGGGATATATGTTTTGGGGATGTAAGGTTAGGAGATGACGGCGCTGAGTATCATGCGATTCGAGGAAGAAAAATTGGGGTGGAAGTACAGTGATTGGGACCAGTTGACTGATAACTATATCGGTGTTCTACGAGAGATGATTGGACACTGGAACTGTTGACAAGTATGGTGTATTTATTTATGTTAAATAGAGTAACTGTTGGGGTGTTAGATGGCGCCACTTGCACTAATAACTCTATATATATATATATATATATATTGGGTTATTGTTGGATTTCTTAACCTTCTCATATTGGTAGAGAAATCATCTCTATTTCGAAATTCAACCCCTAAGGGAGTGGAAAGGGGTTGTAAAGTTTGTATCAGGAATATTTTTACTTGAAACTTGGTCTTAATGCTCTTTGATATAATTAATCAAACACTTATTCCAGGTTTTTAAAAAATTCAACCCCTAAGGGGGAGGAAAGGGGTTGCAATGTTTGTACGAGGAATACTTTATTTGTGATCAGATTTTCGTGAAACTTGGTCTTAATGCTCTTTGATATAATTAATCAAACACTTATTCCAGGTTTTTAACAAATTCAACCCCTAAGGGGATGGAAAGGGGTTGGAACGTTTCTATGAGAGATAGATTCCAGAGGCCAAAATAAGACGAAAATCAAGAATACCAATTTGTTGATGGAGGCTTCGTTAAAAAGTTATTAACAATTAAATATTCAAAAATTTCAAATCGTTCCAGAAAAATTATTTTCGGTTGAAGGGGCCAATAATAATAATTTTTGGTGAATAGACATACCCTTGAAATCCTAACCATTTTCGAGAAAAAAATTCCTTACCAATAATGTCTGATCATACGTTGATATGTTCCCCTTAAAATGTCATGCATTTGTTTAAAACATCATAACTATTGAACGGATTGAAGGATTTTAATGTTTCAAATTGCGAACGACTCGTATTTTGGCGAAGAATATGTAGAAATTCCAAAAATATTCAAAAAGTTGTTCCTTAACCCCGTCAAGTGACAAAAACCCCATAAAAATGGTCCAATTTTCAAATGGCCATAACTCCTACAATAGTGAATGGAGTTCAATGAAATTTTGGGAGGAAGTAGAATTCATGGGTGCCTACAAAAAAGTATTATAGAACATTTCCGTAGGACGTCAAACAAATTTATTAAAAATGAAAAACAAAGTTCTAAGAAAAATCGACAAAGACAAGTGCTTAAATTTTTCGACGAGCAGAAATTTTTTCAAATCGTTTTAAAAAAATTATTTTTAGCTAGGAGGGTCAATTGCAATTATATTTGGTGAATAGACATACCGCCGGAATCCTAACCATTTTCCAGAAAAAAATTCCTTACCGAAAATGGTAATGTCTGGCCATACATTGACATGTTTCCCTGAAATTTTTGGAAAAATTATTTTCGGTTGCGGGGGTCAATTACAATCAATTTTGGTCGTTAGATGTACCATCGAAATCCTACCCACTTTCGAGAAAAAAATTCCTTACCGAAAATGGTAATGTCTGACCATACATTGACATGTTTCCCTGAAATTTTTGGAAAAATTATTTTCGGTTGCGGGGGTCAATTACAATCATTTTGTGTCAATAGACGTACCCCTGAAATCCTAACCATTTTCGAGAAAAAAATTCGAGAAGGTGTGATATTTTATAAAATGGACGCTGTTCCCGGAAGTAAGCAGAACATTTCCGAGTCCCTAAACCCCGAAGGATACCGTTTTATTCGCGTTTCATTCTTGAGCGTCTCTTTTCGATCGCCTCCTCGTCTTCTCCTGCCACCCACTTTTAGATCCCCCCCCTCTGCGCCCCGTCTCTTTCTTCCGTGGCTTTTCCAACCGCTCAATCGGACGGTGCAAAACCATCGATTCGATCGCCGCTAGATTGGTTTTAACGAGTTTCCTTTCACCACGGTTTATCGAGAATTGCGGCGGCTGCCTTCGACGAGCCCGAATACGCCGGGGAAATTTCGACGGAAGATCTTAATTAAAGACGCGTCCGCGAAAAAATGAGATTGGTATTATTGCTACGTAGACGCGGGGGGGCGCCCTCTGTTATCATCCTGTCCCGGATTCCCCGTTAATGACTGTGTATATAATTCGGGGAAACGCGACTGGGAGATCGCGGGATCGAGCGTCCTCGCTTTTAATAGGATCGCTAACAGGATTCGTTCGGGGGAAAGTGGCGTCGATTGGTTTCGAACGAACGGGGAATTTTGTTGGCGGTGAGAAATTAATTAGAAATCATTTTCCAATGCACGATGTAGGGCCTTCTCGAGAGGGCTTAGTAAAATATTTCGAATGTTTCCGTAATTGAAAAATCTTATCGAGCACATACACATTCCTATATTATTATTACGGATCTTTCTGCACTTAAAACACGTGCGAATGTATGTGAATAACATATGTGATATTTTCGGGGAAAAATGTATGTAATAATTTTATTAAAAATGTCTTGTAATAACGCCATTAAGCTTATTGATACTGATTTCATGATTGTTGATTAATATTGTAATTTATTTTCTGGCGTTGCCTCCTATGTTCGCCACCAGAGGGCTCCGCGATCTCACAAGCGCTCTCACGACCTCTCGATTGCTACATACAGGGCGGGGAATTTTAACACTTTGATATATGGGCGACAAGACTAAAATAACAAAGAAAAAATAAACTGAAAAATTCTCGAATTGTTCTTGATTTATTCTCGATAAGAATCTTCATACTTAATTTATATATTCTCTGTTAATTTCACTTTTAATACG